TACCACTACTACAAACAAGTCTACCAGTACTATAAACAAGTCTACCACTGCCTGCACCGTAATAAGTCTACCGACAACTTCATAAATCTACCACTACTACAAATAAGTCTACCAGTATTACGAATAAGTCTACCACATATTATAAATCTACCACAACTATAAATAAGTCTATCATCGCGTACACCATAATAAGTCTACCAGACGTTTAATAAGTCTACCGTAACAGAATGGTAGACTTATTTAATTTTGNCGGNAAAAAANTTCNGCTTCATTAATGNCANTTTCGTAAATACGTTTTTTGTCTTCAAATGAAATAAGGTTAACATAGGAATTAAAATTTTTTCAAGGTCATTCTAATAATATTCAAAGATAGAGGCCATTCTAGTCCAAATCTTTGCTTGACAAGGTCATTCTAGTAAACCTCCCATAATAATATATTAAAGAGGGGGTAAAGTTGAGAGAAAATGTTTTGGGGGGTGGTTAGAATAGAATAGGGTTGTTTGAATTTTGTTTTTGGTTTTGGGGCTTATAAGGTTACAATCCCAGTCTCTTTGACTACATCATCAACGCCTAATCAGGCATGAGACGGGCACTAGCACTACATTGCCTTTTTCCAACTTCCAAAAGGCAAGTAACTTTCTCCAGCTCCATAAATTGTAGTCGCTCACAAACTCATCAGCGAGCCTTGAATGCTACTGCATATTGTAATTGCCATTTAACCATGACAAGTACATATTATGGAAAATCGCAAAAGCTATTCGAATTTCACTATCACATTTCATAAAAAAAAAAAATTAAGACACAAACTATCGAAATCCCCTAATAAATCTAAGTATTGATTAAAAATATTTTTTTTTGCTAAACAAAAAAAAAAATATTGAAAAACTCTCAAACCGACGGATTTCAAAATTTAGGGTTTCTCCCTCATCTCTTTCCTTTGAGAAACAACCGCCGTTAGTTTAGGTGTACACCGGTGACCGGCGGCTCATCTAGCGCCTAGTTATTTGCTCTCGATTCTCTTAGTTTTCGTTAATTTTTTTTCTGAATTAAGCCCATTATTTTGGGTTATTGTTGAAAGTTTCGAAAAGAGGATGACTTTTCTCTTTAACCTCAATGGTGGTCGGTCAAACAAAAGTGGAAGCGCCGGTACCTAGGGGTTGAGGGGTTTTGCGTCATTGACAAAACGCTTCTTGATATAAGATCCAAAGCGTGGATGGAGTGATGGGAACTAATAAGCTGGCTTTAACGCTCTCTCTTACTGGTTCAGTGGATTGGAAGTGTCGATATTTGATGGAGATCGAACAAGCTGGCTTTAACACTCTCTCTTGTTGGATCATAAGATGAAAATGTTGATGGATCGAATGAGACCACACGAGTTGTGAAAGGGCTCGTGATACACTCCACGACTAGACTAGGGAATCCACCCAAGTCTAAATGCACACGAACGGCCAAGGGAATTCCACACAAGGCACGAACGCAAAGAATCTCTTATCCAAGATAATTCTAAAAGGGAGCCAAATGGCTTTTCTATTTCTTTAACTTCAATTCTGCATTACAATGAGAGTGTAGTCTCTCTTATAGACTTTCAAAACTTGGTGGACAAGCAACATTAACTTAAGAAAATAAATGCTAAATCTTTT